CTGGACCAGACAGGGTGAGTCCCCACGTCTTCAAGGTGCCCCCCAGCTTTGTGGAGTCTTTCAGAAACTGTTCATGTTGAGTCTGAGTCTGCAGAGGGTCCTAGTGATGAGGAAGACATCACGCCTCGTCCCTGTACCAAAGACGCCACGTCCCAGTGGCCCCCAGGATTCCAAGCCGGTGGCACTGACCTCCCACATCATGAAGACCCTGGAAAAATCATCCTGGACCAGCTCCGACCTGTAGTCAGACCATATCAGCATCAGCTGGATGCATCAGCAGGGGTGATGAGATAGAGTACTGGGCTGTGGTTGACTCCTTCGTCACGTGGTGCAAGCAGAATCCTCTGCAGCTCAACGTGGCAAAACTAAGGAATTGATTGTGGACTTTAGGAAGACCAGGAAACCCTTGACCCGTGTTTCAATCCAGGGGTCGATGTGGACATAGTGGAGGACTATAAATACCTTGGAGTACACATGGACAATAAACTGGACTGGGTTACAAACACCACTGCACTTTATAGGAAAGGCCAGAGTCGTCTCTATTTTTTTTTCAGTTCAATTCAACTTTATTTATATACCACCAAATCACAAAAATTGCTGAAAGCCAGGTTTTCTTTGCGTAACTGTCTTCTTTTTTTTTTTGCCTGTCACATTTGGTTCTTTAGCCATCAGAATTGTTGTCTGAAGACTGTTCTGTTACTGTTATTTATACTGGAGCAACTGTAACCCACATAATTTTCTTAGGGATTAATAAAGTTTGCAGATTCTGATTTCTGGAAATCTGACCATCCAAAATGGAAGATATGGACCATAGAGACATCTCTGCAAACTGATGTAACAATGGTTGAAGTTAAGTTTTGGACTCAAATTCAAAATAATGGTAGAATAATGGACCAAGATACTAAACTGTATTTGAAAAGATACTGTGACGTCTTACAATCGCCAGTTAAACCATAAATAAATTTGGTCTGTGATATGGAGTAAAATATTTAAAGTTTGTTTGCAAAAAATACAGATTCTGTGGAGGACTGTATGTCTGGGACCAGCACAGAAGCACAGAAGTACTTTTTAGAGATGTTTTAAAAGAAGAAAGACTATGCTATCAGTGCACCCAGGGTTCAGGTGCAAGGCTCATGCAGCTAAATGTTTGACAGAAATAGAGAAAATGTTATTTTATGTCATTTGTTTGACTTTTGTTGTAGAAAGTTCAGATGTTTCGTCGGCATGCAATGTGTCTGGGAGAATACGACGGCCGTGGGCTGAGTTCCTTTAGCCATCAGTATTGTTAACTTTAGCTAGTAAACTAGTTTGCTAACATAGCTGATAAGACTAGTGTCAATCTCACTTTGGCCGTACAAATGATAGGTCCTGCATTATATTGATATTATACTTTATATACATTGAACTATAAAATAAAATTTTCTTAAGATGGAAACTATATCAGAGCATTAAACAGGCTGATGTTATTTGGGGTTAGAGGGTCTAAAAGGCTAAAGATGATACAGATGATAAAGACATGACTTCCTTATGAAATATTATGTAATCCTGCAGATTAATTTACTCCAAAATATTGTTTTTGTCAACAAATGTGTAGCATTCATAGCATTATGTCCCATATTAATATAACGTTAAAACACAATGTTAGAAAAATGTTAATGATATAACTATGATGAAATTTAGGGTTCTAAAGTCACTTATGCACACTAGCCAAACAGCCACTGCGAAAAATCACATTAAGAACGTACCAGTGCTTTAGTGTGCCATCATGTCCATGTCTGGGTTGTTCACGTTGTACCCTAAACATTTCTTCGACTCAAGTTTGACTCCTTTTTTCTGAGAAAAGAGGATGTGGTGTTCTGATTTGCCTTGACGACATGAATAATTAAAAAAACATGAAAAATGGTGAAAACCCTTTAGGTCTATGGTGGCACTCTTTCCTTTAAACAAAAAAAGCCCATCTCGAAGGGGAAACAGTTAAGAGCTCACTAAATGAAACAGCTTTTTTTGGTTAATCTTTAAAAAAATGTAAAGAGTGAAAATGTCTGTGCTCTTCCCCTCCAAACCTTATTAGTTCACCTTTTAACCTAATAAAAGCAAAATATTGCAGTTTTTCTCCATTGGTTTGGCTCATTTCTTGAAACAGAAATTACATTCTCAAAATAACATGGACAAACCTCCAAACCTCTTGGCAAATGTTCACAACAGAATGGCATTTCTCATTCATTTTATCAAGTGGCAAATGCCTAAGTACATGTCTCAATTGTCTCAGTGCATCTTTGCAAATGATTAAGTACAAGTAGCCTACAGTTATACAGTTAGCCCACATTTAGCACATTTTCCAAATTAATAGATCTTGTAGATCTAAACTGATTAGTTGATTCTCAGTCTAATGATCATTCTCTCCAAAACATGTCAGCATGATTTCATTGTATAAGTACTTGCATGCACAACTGTCTGTTCAATTGTCAAAATTGGTCAAGAACATAATACCATGAATACCATATATGAATTTCTTTGAATATTTGATAAATTGATGACAGTCATTGACAGTCAGGTGAAACTAGGCTAACGAAGGGGGAGCGTCACACACAGGTGTGTTCCATGATTGTGTGCTGCCAAACACGGATATATAGAGCTTGACCAGAGCCAGTCCGATCTCTGAACATGGATAGACAAGGCCAAGCAAACGGACAAGGGGAAGTTCTTCCTCAAGGAAGAGGAGGAGGAAGAAGAAGAGGAGGACTGAGAATGCGTGGTGGAGGAATAGGGGGAAGAGGCCGCAAATAATGCCATCACATTGAGACAGATCCATGATGCCATCCTTCAGGACAATCCAGAATATAAACACAATAAGCATCTCCACAATAGACCGGGTTTTGAAGAAGCATCAGATGACAATGAAACAAATCTACAGGGTACCATTTGAGAGGAACTCTGACAGAGTGAAGGAGCTGCGCTACCAGTATGTAAATGTAAGTCAGTTACTGGTTGTCTCTCATTATAACCTTACCTGTAATCACAGTAAGCAGTAGTTCACTTATTTGGTTTCAATACCTCCTTTACCTGATTTCAGAATCAGTATTTGCTTCATCTGACTTCAACAATTTCAACAGAAAACTGCAGTTTACTGTATGATACAATTCTCATTATAATCCTTATTTTGTTGTCTCCCAATCAAATCTATCTAATACTGTAGGTTTTACTGTAACATCTCAGTAAGTCATCAGTATTTCCCACTCCCCTTTCTATCAAATACCCCTGCAGTACTTCCACATAGGCCTATCACTAGTTTAGAACCACTGGAGTAGTGGCCTGTAGTATATTGAACCTGTGGGGGAGAACATGTAATTGTCTAACTGTAGTATATGACTCTTCTGTATGACTGATTACGTTCTTTACTCTATTTTAGAGAATAATGGTATTGGAAGGACATGAGACCCCTCACATCCTGGTGTTCGTGGATAAAGCTGGCTTCAACCTGGCCAAGGGCCGAAGACGTGGCCGTAATATTATTGGCCACCGGGCCACAGTGCATGTCCCAGGTCAGCGAGGGGGCAATGTAACTATGTGTGCTGCCATTTCTGAGAATGGCGTGGCCACTCACATCCCCAGTCTTGGCCCATACAACACACACAAGCTCCTCATCTTCTTGGATCGCCTTTATACCGATTTTATCCCTGAAAATCAGAGAGGTCTCATAGGGCCTCACCTACCCATTTATGTAATTGTGTGGGACAATGTCAATTTCCACCATAGCCCACTCATTAGGGGCTGGTTTGCAACGCATCCAAAGATGGTCATGGGGTTCCTACCACCTTACTTTCCTTTCCTCAATCCGATAGAGGAGTTTTTCTCTGCTTGGAGATGGAGAGTGTATGAGCATCAGCCGTCCCTGCTCCATGCTATGGACGCAGCGTGTGACGACATTACAGGAGATCAATGCAGGGGACCAGACGGACAACAGCGTGTAAATAATCAGGAGGGTGAAGACAGTGGACAAGAGCGGGAGAATGAGTACAGCGACCACTGAATAACTCCTTGTTTTTTGATTTTGTGTTCATACAATTTACTACTGTAATGTACATTTTCTTTTTACATATGTATAAAACTTTCTTTGCATGTGAATAACAAATGGTTATAATTTCCTTGGTAGTGTGAGTGCAATCTGTGATGTCAAACCTTGGAGGCTACTCTTTTCTGTTGTATATTGTTGGTCCATTGTTGTATATTGTTGCCATAGTGACAAAACATCTAAACATTTTGTATGGCAGTACTCACACAATGCCAAAGGGACGATGCATTTTGGGGGCACTGACTATTCAGATTAGAAAGAAATGTAGTTTTGACACATGAGTGAACTGTTTTAGGGGAGATATGAGCGTTTGCAGGTGGACCATGTTGTTGTGATCAACCATCCAGGTTTAGTTTGACAAAAGCACCAAGAACGATGAGAATGTCCGATCTGTGTCGAGAAATGAGCCAAAGCTATTGAGAAGGATCTTTGCCATTTTGGAGACACTGACTGTTTAAATGAGAAAGGGATTTAGATTGAAGCCCGAGTGAACAGTTTTGGAAGAGATATGAGCTTTTGCAGGTGAGCTATAGTGTTGTGCTAAACTGTAAGAGTGTTTTGCCAAATGAGTTTAGAGTTTTGAGAATGTAATTTCTGTTTCAAGAAATGAGCCAAACCAATAGAGAAAGACTGTAATCTGAACAAGAATAAACCCATGACAGGAGTCATTATTTCATTACTTTAATAAAGCAACAAGTTTGAGGACGACCATATCAAAACACGTGTTTATAGGAGGAATGATGAAAATGATGGAAGCTATTAATTCAAGGTCGTTGCAATAGAAATAACAAACCTTTGTGTTGACTGTGATATTATTTAATAATTGATTAATTAGCAACTAATATCTTTAGATCTATCGAGTGTGTCATGCAGCTTTATTCCCAGAATTACAGCTTTTATTGAAAAAATAATTCAATAATCTTAAAAATAAAAAATAAAAAATTCTAAGAAGTTATCAAAGAAGAAGGGATGAGAAACAGAAATGTATTGTATAAGTCATCCATAAGCCCATAATTTCAGGAATTTGCTCTCTCACACCGCCCTGTAATGGCTCTTGCTAAGCTTATCTGGTTATTAAGCCATGAATATGGTGTTTTTCTTGGCTGTGAATTAAAGGTGAGCTTCATTACGTTTGTAGTTCACAAACAATGAAACAAAGGACTAGCGAGCTATGACTGACAAGTCATATCTCAGTCATTTCCTGTCTCTTTGTCAATGATTTTTCATACTTTGTCTATGAACTTCAACCTGTGGTTGGTTCAAAATGTACACATTACTCACACAGACACCCTTGAAAGAAAAAAAAGAAAAAGAAAAAAAACCCCAGAACCATACAGACACTACATGAACATGAATGAGAACAAAATCTGGTCCAGAAATCCACTTCGATCCTCCAAACGCAGCCCTGGAGCTTCTGCTGTGGGCGCAGTGTCTTTGTGTCCGTTTTATTTCTTTTCCTCCACAGTCCTGCCAAAGTATTCCTTCTGAAACTGCTGGAACTCCTCCTCTGTGAACAAAGACTTTGCCTCTTTGGCCTTTTTCACAGGCCTGTCCGGGTGATTTCTTGACTGCCTCCCTTTATTGTGGTTCACGATCTATGTCAGACAGAAATCAAATCAGCACGTTAGGGCCACCTGTAGACAACAAAAGCAGTTCATCAGTAGCCAGTGATGGCTATGAATCTATTTGGGTTATCAATAATGCAAAAAATAAATAAATAAAATCCTGGGATTTGGATCTTTACTGTACAGGATGTTTATTTTTTGCCGACATTAAAATTGATACCACTGCTGAATCTACGAGCAGGCTGAGAGGTACCACCGGGTGCCACCAGTGTTTTTGTGGCTGTGAGCAAGCTGCTTTTTTATGTAAATATGACTCTTCTTTTTAAATCCTGCTTAACATTTTGGACTCCAGTGTTTCAAGAAGAGATAAAAGTCACAGACAATGACAGTACTTGTAAAATGTGAGGGACTGATGACCTGGTTACCTTCAGTGTGTCAGAATCTGTTGCTTTACAGCCAGTTGCCATAAAGTATTTGAGGTTCTCACTCAAATGGCTCTTCCCCTGCTTCTTCCTGAACTCCTCTACAATTCAAACCAAAGAACAAGAAATTTAGAGCAACATCAACTAGACTGTAAAAGAGTAACAGAACAATTATTCAGGTTTAAGTTCTTTTAACTGAGTTTAAGACCAATGCTGCCACCTACTGGTCCTTACATAAAAACGCAAAAGCCTCTGTACCAATTGTTTTTACTTTTTCACAGATGTCTTTTATTCTAAGCATGAAGAAGACTGAAATACAGCAAGCAGACTGACCCACTGCAGACTTGATCCTCTTGTCTTTAACAGTGGCTTTGCTCTTGCCAGGCCCGAGACGGCCTTGCAGTCTTTTGACCTGCTTGGTAACTCCCTGCCGCTTGGTGCTCACCAGCTCCATCACTGTGGCTGAGCTGGGGGTCTGCTGCTGCTTCTTCTTCACTTTAGTGACATCTGGCAGGAAACACATGGCAAAAAGACACGCACAAAACCCAAAGTAAGCTGCAGACAAGGAAACATGTTCTTTTAAGAGTGTGAATCGATCTTTTTGTCATTCAAAAGCTATACACTAATTATAGCATATCTGAATGGAATCGTGTTGCACTGGCTCACAACATTAATAAAAATTGTAGTAACAAACAGAGCTATAAAAAAATGAATGTGAAATGCATAAAAAAAAAAACAGCAGTATTGTTAAATTACCAGTGTATTACACTTATAGATAGCAATGGAGTATCACAGCAGCAGGGAGATCAGTCCAAGTGTGGTCCACTGTGTGTGTGTGTGTGTGTGTGTGTGTGTGTGTGTGTGTGTGTGTGTGTGTGTGTGTATAGAAGGGAGGGGTATTAAAAAAAATAGAATTTAGAAGCCTGACGGCTATGAGAAAGAAACTTGGAGAATCTGGCTCTTCTGCTCCAAATACACACTCTTCATCTGAGACAGGAAGTGCAGACATTGCTGTGCTCCCATTACAAGAGAACAAAGCTAGAAACTTAGTGCTGCTGTCCACCTCCTCCACAATGTTATTGATGAGAAGCTGTGTGTGGTACACCAGTCCCCATCAATTGTCTCCACTTGCCGCATGCTTTCACGCTGGGAGATGATTTGTGTTGAATGCGGAACTGAAATGCACATTGTGAGTCCTAAAAGGTGATAATCATTAAGACATAGAACTGTGGACTGTTTTTAGGAACTAGTATAATGGTAAAATTCTTGAAGAATGATGGTACAACTGCATGGTTCAGTGAGGTATTGAAGAGGTCTGTGAGGACATGACCCAGCTGGTCAGCACATTCCTTGAGCACCAGTCCCGAGGCGCTGCTTGGGTACGTCAGTTCTTCTCAGGGTCCTCCTGACATCAGCTGTGCTGAGACCAAGTACCCGCTCACCCGGATGAGGAATTGCTTTCCTCACAGGAATGTTATGTAGGTTGAGGTTAAGCATAGTACCGTTATTCAAATACGTCTTCTTCGGGCTCTACGTTGCTATGGTTTAATGACGACAACGTGAAAACCTCCGAAATAATATTCAAGTAATCAATTTTAGACCTTAAAGCAACATTGTAAACGGCCTAACTATAACAATGTAAAAAAAACAAAAAACAGATCAGTCACAAGTTATGTCAGAATTATAATAGCGAGAGCGCTAATATCCAATACTGTTAGCCAACTGGCACAGCAAGCTCAAGAGGCTAAACTGACCTTTAATGTCATTGCTCAGCAACTCCAGTCCTCTCCTGATCAACGAAGCCGACATCCTGATTCAAGCTACAAACGTTTTCTTCTACTTTCCACAAACTACATCCACAGAAATGTGCTTTTATAACCGGGTAACAACATGTGGTTCCATAAACATCCGGCAAGCTCGCGTGCGTCGGTTAAATGCAGTCGGCTTGACGATGTAAAATGAACAAAGTTCCTACCTGGATGACCTGTTGTGCTATTTCAATTACTTTAGTTTTAAATTTTTATTCTTCTTATTCTTATTATTAGTAGTAGTAGTAGTAGTAGTCAGTGCGCCCCAGGGCAGCTGTGGCTACAACGTAGCTTGCCATCACCAATGTGTGAATGTGTGGATGACTGAATGTAGTGTAAAGCGCTTTGGGGTCCTTAGGGACTAAGTAAAGCGCTATACAAATACAGGCCATTTTAGTAGTAGTAGTAGTAGTATCAAAACAGAACTGCCAACTCTCAAATCAAATATGCTACAATATTTGATCGTGTTCAAATATGGAACAAGTGGCTCCAATCCTCTGTTATTTTCACTTCACACGGAGATAGGTTAATAGATTACGTTTTCTGTTGGAGTTGGAAAAATGTGCATGTCTCGCTGCAGATTTATGAATGACTGTCGGTTCAGACTTTGTCTAAAATGTAGGCTAATGCCATTTTTACTGTGTCCCCCTTTCACTTTTGTCAGTGTCAGGTGAGCCGAGGGGCGTGACGGTTTGGCATGCGCTCTCTCGCCACCATTAGTACCTTTGCTCACTCGACCGCTCCCGACTTTTGGCTCGGTTTTGTTAAATATTGTGAAACTTAGGTAAACTTTGTAGCCTGTTTGCATCTCCAGTTCACCATGGCTCTCCAAGCCACCGCTCTGGTCACCTCTAAGTGGCTGACTCAGGCTGTAAAGGTCCAGGGGAAAATGCGGGTCTTGGACACTTCGTGGTATTTGCCCAAACTGCGGAGAAACGCAAAGACCGAGTTCAAGAAGAAGCATGTGCCGGGAGCAGCTTTCTTTGACATTGACCAGTGCTGTGATAAAACCTCTCCTCTGGACCATATGTTGCCGTCAGAGGACTATTTTGCGGAATACGTCGGGAAATTGGGAATAGAAAACGACACGCACGTCGTGGTCTACGATGGCAGCGAGTTCGGGGCGTTCTCGGCGCCCCGCGTGTGGTGGATGTTCCGAGTGTTCGGGCACAGTGCGGTCTCTATGCTCAATGGGGGGCTCAGGAACTGGGAGCTGGAGGGTCGACCTGTGAGTGACCGGTACGTCAGACCCACAGCGACCGAGTTCAAAGCCTCTCTGAACCGCTCGTGGATAAAAACCTATGAGGATATCCTGGATAACCTGGAGACTAAAAAGTTCCAGGTGGTGGATGCCAGGCCCACAGGCAGGTTCAAAGGACTGGACCCTGAACCCAGAGACAGTGAGTAGTCGGCATTAGAGCCTTTATGATGGTTACATGGTTACAGTCCTGCGTGCCCCACTCAGTCTTTTGAAGAGATCCATTCTTCTCAGAACTTCATTACATTTTCAGATTACTGACACCCGTATTTCAAATAGCATCCTCAGACTACAGGCACACTGACATGAGGGGGCGTGTACTGTATCTTTATTCTTATTGCCTCTTGATGACAAATGCGTTGATTATGATTAAGATAACTTCACAACTCAGCTATTGTTGGGACACACTTGTGCCAGGATTTCCGGCCTGACTCATGTCCGTGTGTAACTGAAATACTTCTAAAGAACCCAACGTTACACTCTTTTCCCTTGGAAAAGATGGTGACATGCATTTTTTTAATAGAATTTTTATCTTGGTCAAAGTGATGACTGAGTGACTCACAGTAACGTCCCACAGTAGCTTTTACTACGTGCATTGTTGATAGTAACTTTTTCATTAAAGGGTTTATAGACAACATTGATGATCTTATTGTGCCTGTTTTTTTAAGATAAACAGAATGATTGAACCAGTCAACTTGTTTAAGAGTGTTTAAGAATGACTGATCAAAAACTGGTTCGAGGATTGCACCTGGAGGCGGGTATCAATTACCAGTTTGAAATTCTCCAAATGTCTTCCTGTTGTCTGCGCAGATTTGTTTTTCTGGCAGTTGTACACTGCAAAGACTTCAAACTGATGGCAGTGGAGGTGGATAGACACACAAACGTGTCACAATAAGTTATTATTGTTATTAGGGGAGGATATCATGGCCCATGATATTTTATGTTATTGACCCCTGACATTCTTCTCTTTACTAGTGAACAAACATGGACAATAATTAGTATCTTATAAAACACAATTACAGTTTGACTCTGACAGTGACGTCAGGGTGACACAGGTATGGGGGGGGGGGACGACAAGATAATGGTTTGCTAGTTCCTTGTACATTACATAGAGTTTTATGGAGTTTGCTCTGTGCAAACCCAGCAGGGCTTGGATGACTGAAGAACACAAACATGAAAAGAGGTCAGGCAGACAGGCCGTACTTAGATAGCCCACATTTTAGCTATAGTCAATGAACCATACACACACACACACACACACACACACACACACACACACACACACACACACACACACACACACACTGCTGTACCACAGTAGCAGACAAAGTGAATGGTTAAACGTTTCGATGCAGCAGTAGTCCAACCTTTGATCTGCTGATGTTTTTAAAGACGGCACTCAGTGAATGGACAAAACAGTGATAAGGTATATATGTCTTATCCATATACTTCTCACAGTACACACACTGTTAGAGGGTAAAGCTCTGATGTGCTGTTACAGGGCTCCTCTGCAGGCAGAACACTTCTGAAAGCAGTTTAAGCAGTGACCTTTCTGACTGCTCTCTTAAAAAAACCCAAAAAACTTCCCTTTTCATTGCATGTGTAAATCCAGCCTGGATTTAATTTGGGGGGGAACAAATAAAACTTTCACATGCTAAATCTGCTCTTCTGATTGACTCCCTTGGGAGTATAAGCATCAGTTTTCGTAATGTCTGTTTTCATATCAAACATCGATACAAACACACATATTTGTCTGTGGTAGTAAAAACGTAGCAAATGCGGGTTTCGCTTTCTTTTCCTCAATTCAGAGTTTTGCTTTTGAAACACTGAACCAATTTCCCACTATAACTGATATAGTCAAGACTAAAATACCGCCTGTCCCAGTGTGGTTGTGGTTTATTAACACCTGGCTATTTTTTTTCACATTTAAAATGTGATCTGAAGAAAACCCTTTCTGGGGTTTCGTCCACATGGTCCTTCTGTAGCCAAAAGGTCACAGGGTTGAGTCATCAATGATCACATTATGTTCCGTTTTTTTATCTTATATTTAAGACTGTCATCTTCAGTCATGGACTTTAACAGTCCTCTGACTCATGCCTCTCTACTGATTTATTCAGAGTCGAGTGCAGCTGAGCTGGACCAATATAACTTACGCCTCTTACTCTTTCTGATGCTAGCAGAGTGGAGATGGAAATGCCATAATAAGAGGCGGTCAATACAAAGGCAGATTATAATGATTTGCTAATCATGTGTACTGTATAACAAGTTATTCAGAAATGGGGATCATAACAGTTTTACTAATGGCACTAAACATGTGTGGTAAAATTATTTGTGATGTAAAAGGTCACTCCAGGATTAGAGACTACATCAAGGAGGGGTGTAGCTAGAAAGGTCTAAAAAGTAAAGCCAAAACAGAAGTGCCTTAAACATGAATTCTTTTTAATGGCTGGCACAACTTCAATAGTAAGCCTTTACCCAGTGATTGTGTAGTGTCATTGGTTTCACAGTTGCTTGCCACACGTGGTTTTAAAACACCACAGTCACAATGATGAAAATGCGTCACAGCAAGACTTCATTTACTAGTCAATGGGTGATGTCATAGTTACTACTTGCTACATAAAGAAATGACAAGAAAGCTTGTCATAAGAGAGTTTGGGCTGTGTTGAAGAATAAAGGTTGTCTAACCAAATAATGACAAACTCTGTTTTTGCCTCATATACTGTATTTCCATGTATCTTTGTATGTGTTTCAATAAATTGCTGCACATATTTTCCATTTTCCCTGCAAAATATTTAGAATAAAGAGCAACAGCTCAAGAATTTTACTGTAGTCCACATTCAAAGTGTAGAACATAATCCAGACTGAGAAAAACAGAAGGGATCAACACAGGGTTAGCATGACTTAAAAGCCTCACCAAGGCTAATCAAGATCTCTAAAGGTCTTTTTAATTACATGTTTCTGTGTAACTGCCCATTTCTTAATTAATTAAGAGTACACATTTGCTATTTCAGATTATTTAATCATATTCTGAATGTATCTGCTCTTTCTGATTGACAGACACAGAGCCGGGTCACATCCCTGGCTCCATCAGCATTCCTTTCCACGCCTTCCTGTCACCTTCTGGCCACTTCCTGCCAAAGGAACAACTCCAGGCTCTGTTTGCCCGTGCTGGTGTGGATCTCGACCGCCCGCTTTGTGTCTTATGTGGCTCTGCAGTGACCGCGTGCCACGTGGCACTGGCGGCCCACGAGTGCGGGCACCCGGGGGTGTCGGTGTATGACGGTGGATGGTCAGAGTGGTACACCCGCGCCGTGCCCGAGCACGTCATATCAGATGGGAGAGGGAAACATTTGTGATAACAGGAAGGACCTGTGACCGATGGTTTTAGGCTGGATCACTTGTGCTGTTGTTGCCATTGAAGTTTGGTCATTTGGGATTTGTATGACTTCCTCCTGTGAAGCCACAGCCAGCAGCACGATAGCAAAATTTCCCAGAATGTCCGAAAAGCTCCTGTATTAATAATACACCACTGGGAATTTTTTTTTTTTTTGTTCATCTTTTATATACTGATAGATGATTTGTGATTAAAGTCAACAATATGTGGACACTAAACTGAGCTTCTTAACCCCGTCCCCCCCACCTCAAGTCTCCACCTGTTGGCAGCTCACGGACTCAAAGACACCTACACTTTGTAATCTTGTGTAATCTTTGGTAAAATAAATATGAACATGTTTATCGACGCAGTAACTGATTAAAAAGGACTGAAAATAGACAAAGAGCAGAGTGTACTTTGTTAGGTTCTTACAATAATGCAGTTTAAACGATGGACTTTTGACTTGTTGACTGATTAGAGCCTAAGGATAGTGATGTTTTTCTGTTTGTTTTTGGGGTTTTTTCCCCTTCCAAAGTCAGATATCCTGAGAAGTTGGTGTCTAAAGAAAAAATAAATTAATATATCATCATGATTGCTACTGTCTCATGTCATGTTACACATTGCCAATTACTGTACAGCATTTTAGAAGACTCTTTTTAAATGATTTCAGTGGCTTAAAATGATTTCAGTGATGCAATGTTGATGCTAAAAATATTGCTTTTAATATAACAAGTAAATCACTTTTGCCATATACAATAATCATTTCTTGAGTAAAGTTCAGCATGAACAGATATAAAATAGATTTGCACTAAAGGAAACAAAAATGTGGCGTCAAAACCCACTTTGCTGTGACGTACTTGGTGATAGTCACACGTATTACACGTAAGGCATTTTTCCACTGCATAGCAAAGGGGTTGCTGTACATAAGTTGAAATGTTAAAGCTGACCTGTGACAAGGAAGTGAGACTCATATGTCCTCTCTTCCTCTTTCGCATTAAAAAAGCCTTTTGCTTTTTCTGAACAGTATAGTTGTACATGTGTCACCGAGAGGACATGTTCATTATTTGTGCTGTTGCAGTGTGGGAGTAGTCACCCTGTCCTGGCTCTTAACTGGTGAGTGTGCTGCTCTGATAAAAGATTTCTGTTATCTTGCTGTGAACATGAGCTCCTTTGGGAAAGTTGTTGGTGATAACTTAGAACAGCAGTGAAGTCCCAAGATAATCTCTTGGTTTGTTTTTTATGTCATAAATAATTGGGGGTTTTTACATTTTAAGTTTAATTTAATTTTATTTCAGAACACAACATAAATTCTAGTTAGACTAAAAACAAATAAAAATACTAACAATAAGAAAAAGCTCGCTTGTTTTAACACTGATTATATTTTCAGGGCTTTAATGTGAAGTTATCTTTGTGAAGTTAATATTTATCCCTTTCCACTTTATAATAACCAACATTAAATGCCATTTGAGTTTGTGTTTCTAAAGCTTCCACTCGAGGGCAGCACTACACTAGAGTTTTAAACCTTGGCATTCAGCACTGTTGTATAATAGGAGCTCAGGTGAAATAGTCTGAACATTTAATCATGAGTATTTTTAATTAGTTTCTCTGGGCAGCTTTGCTGAGCACCTGCATCTACACACAGAGTTGTCTCAGGATTGTATCCACTTGAAAAATGTGTTACTTTGTATAAAAAATGGCTTTAATTCTTAAATAGTTCTTGTTAAAGTGTTGTCGTAAATCTCACCCAAACGGTCGCAGCAGATGGCTGCCTCGCCCTGAATCTGGTTCTGCTGGAGGTTTCCTCCTGTTAAAAGGGAGCTTTTCCTTCTCACTGTCAAGTGCTTGCTATTTGGGGGTCATGTTATTGTTGGGGGCTTCGCTCTATCATTATAGTGGCCTTACATCACAATAAAAAGTGCTGTGATGGAACTGTTATTTTGATTTGGCACTATGTAAATAACATTGAACAGAATTGAAACTGACATTGTTAAAAAACTTGTGGAACAGTGAAACATTTACTCGTCAAACAGTAAATGAAGGTTTTTCTTCAAGAACACCTCCAACATTTTGACATTTATTAAGTAACTTTTGGTTAGTTACATAATTAAATTCATATTACGATCATTTATTTGTCTATACATAACTATTAATGTACAGTTGGTGATCTTAACTTGGCTTTAATGTCCTTTATGAGTCTAATGGGCACATAACTTATATAAATCACGTTTTAAATAAATGTTGGAACTTGTCATTAAGACCCATCAGGAAAGTGTTTCCTCAGGTCTTTTTTTCTTTAGAGTTCAAGGCTTTTTTGAAACTAGAGTCTTGAGATATTTCCATCTCTGGTTGGTCTCTTGCTGTTAGCTGTTTTTAGCATGCTATTGATGCTTAGAGAGATCTAATGTTCTGTTCGCAGCAGTGCAAAGGCAGACATCACAGACAGAAAAATAATATAAAAGATAAAGTTGTAAAAACACTTTACAAACTGTTCCTTTTTTCATCCGTCTCAGAAATGCATGATTTAGAAAGTAAAAATATAACATAACCATATTTTTTTCCTTAAAATGTCAAGCATCATGGACAAATGACATTACATAGCAGCAGTCAACAGTAGTTACAAAAGGTGCAATGAGCAATCAGCTAATACCCGCCACAAGATGTCACAACAGTACAAAATATTAGTATAATATTATAATATATACGACTATAATATTAGTTATAATATATGCAGTGTGCTAAGAAGATTAAAGGAATACTTTAAGAAGCTAATGAATGTAAAAAACGAGAGCCAGAGGGGGACGGAAAGTGGATAGTTAGCCAATGAGGAAGTGCAGAGGATTAGTAGCAAGGAAGTGAGGCAGCTCTAGAAGAGTGGAAAGGCAGTTAATCCAGATGACACACAGTGGAGGTTTGGATGTGTCTAGGAGAAAGGGCAGTGGACCTTTTAACTAGATTGTTTAACACAATCCTGGAGATTGAGAGGACCCATGAGTAATGGAGAAGAAGTACACATCTTCTTCATTCCTTTCCAAGAACAAAGATGATGTGAAAAGCTGTAGCAGTATGGCTTCATGCTGTGAAAGAGCACTTCAGGTGTAATGTTTGCTTTAAGAGTGTTGCTGGGTGGGCACTGGTTTAGCATAGTTGGATGAGCAGGCGACCATGTGCTGCACGTCTCCCCCTCTGTCTCTTTTTGCGTTCCTGTCAGTCTTCACTGTCTCCATCTAATAAAGCCAGAAAAAGGCCAAAAAATATTTTTTTAAAAAAGTGTTGCTGGAACATCAAAAAGGGGTTGCAGTGTCTTCATGGATCCAGAGAAAACATATGATAGGGCGCCTGAGGTAGTGTGTTAGGAAATCAGAAGTGTATGTGAGTGTGGCGCAAGACATGCAGGACGCCAGCGAGACAGTGGGTTAGGTGTGTGGTAGAAGTGACAGATGAGTTCAAGGTGGGTATGGGATTACATCAGGGTTTGACTTTGAGTCCTTTCCTGTTTTTGATGGTGATGGACAGCCTGACAGGTGAAGTCAGGCAAGGGTCTACGTGGACTAACGATGCATACAGATGATATTTTGCAGTGGCGAGACGGTAGCAGAGAGCCTGGACATGTGGAGGTTTGCACTGGAGAATAGAGGAATGAAAGTCAGTAGAAGATAGAATACATACTCAAATGTATGCAGATGATGCAGTTATATATACGCAAGCAAATAGTGTCCAGCAGGTGGCAAAAGATCTTACAGCTGCTTTAGCATTAATGCATAGCTGGCTGGAGGACTCATGCCTAATGTTGAACACCTCAAAAACTGTCGGTATGTATTTTTCAAAACGCCCCTTAAACTTGAAGCAGTCAAACATATTCCTGGATGGAGTAGAGCTTGAATTAGCTCCAGAATTTAAATATCTTGGGGTCATTCTAGACCCAACATTATCCTTCAAGAGTCACATAAATAAAGTGTCCCAGGTACTTAAATTTAATAATCGAAATTTTAATCATATACGTAATAATTTAAATATGAATGTTGCAAAAACTTATTTTTACTCAATGATCATCTCTCATATGGACTATTGTTTGACGTCCTGGTCACTTGCTTGTCCAACAACACTTAAAACTATTGAAAACATGTATAAAAGAAGTTTAAAACTACTTGACAAAAAACCGACTTCCCACCACCACTGTCATGTGTTAAAAAAACATAAATTACTGAACTTCAATAACTTAGTGAAACTTAAAAGAGTGAGTTTAATATATAAAGTCTTACACTCCCTTGCTCCACCACCACTAAAGCAGTTCATTAGGCATAAAGAAAGCTCAGACAGGACCACTCGAGCTACAATCCGAGGAGACTTGTTTATACCCCACAGACGGACAGCATTTGGGCAGAACGTCCTTTCTGTCCAGGGTGGCCATCTGTGGAACAGTCTTCCTCAACCCATTAGAGAATGCTCGACATTCAATTTGTTTAAGGCAAAGGTTAAAAACTGGTTATGGACAAATCAAGTGTGTGATCATGTATAAGTTGTATAGTTTTAATGTTTTATTTGGGAACAGAAAGGTGTGTATGTGTAAGTTTGGTGATGGAATTTTTATTATGAATGAATGATGAATTTTTATGAATTATTATGTCTATTTTTATGCTTAAGGACAACAGATGGAAATTAGCCCTTGGCTATAATCTGGTATGTTTACATTCATGTAATTTTTTTTTTTACATTTATGTTCATTAACATGCACTGTCCTAAATAAATAAATAAATAAACATGAGTGAGAATGAGAGGGATACCGGTGGAACGGTAAACATGCAACTAGCACAGGTGGTGAAGGTGGGGTCAACCATCCAAAGCCTCATATAATAGACAACAGAGGTGAAGAAGAGAGTGCAGCGGGTGGAGATGAGGGTCAAGGTTGATGTGTGACAAGAGTGAATGGAAAGATTTCCCGTGTGGTGGTGAAACCTGCTGGTTTGGAGACGGTGGCACTGACAAAAAGGCAGGAGGCTGACGTGGAGGTGGCAGAGTTGAAAATACCAAGATGTTTTACTAAGAGGATGGACAGAATTGAAAATGAGTACATGAGAGGTATAGCTCATGTTGAAAATCATTTTTGGAGGGGTTAAGGGTTTCAGGATATTCAACCCCTCATGAACAAAATGTATTGCCTAAACCTTTTATACGTGTCTGGCCAGGTTCTAGTAAGTTATGCACAAGTTGGCTTCTTGTATATCCTGTGTGCTGTGGCTTAAAAGCCCCCCTAATCGTGAGACTGGCCTACTTTTTGGTGATCTGCTTGTGTGTGCCTGACGTGTCACAGCACGTGATTAATATTTGTTTTGGTGTCTGCGTTAAAATATTGTCTTTAACGCTTTCTCACCTGTGAGGCCCAGTTCGGTCAGATTTAGGCTGTTTATTTTCATCTGCTGTGTGCAGCTGGATGTGGTACTTGCAACGGTGGCATATTAAAAAAAAGTAAGACACTCTAGCACACGTGCACACTTCAGCACCTCTAATTTCAAGTCCTTTCCCAAACTGATAGCATTTCACCAGCAGTGGATAGTTGTTTATTAACTGGGCACAGTCACTTTTTTGTAGTATAGACTGTTCTGCCACTTATATCGTGCCTCCAGGAAACTGCAGAGGGATGATTGCCGTGTGAGTGCATGCACACGAGAACAAAACTAAATTTAGGACAGTGATGTGTTGTATTACTCAGTAACGGGTAAATGCATTACAGTAACACCAACACCGCTTTTACCCACAGAAAAACCAGGTAGGATGACAAATAGAGGTTTTCACAATTAACCAATAAGCTTATTTAGTAAGCCAGCTGTTTCCCCCATTCTCAGCCTTTCTCACTTGCTAAGCTAACCTTCATATTTCTTATGTAAACATATGAGATATCGAACTTTCCATCAAACTCTCAGTAAGAAAGCACATTTCCCAACTAATCATTTAACCTGGCCCTAAAAAGAGTTGACTCTGAATTTCAGTTAGCAAAGCAAACAAAACAGAGGCATGAAATTATAGTTTCTGCACTAGCATATTACTTTTACTTCTTACCAAGTCATAGTATTTTTAACAAATAATAGAAACTCAGTGCAAAGGGAACAGAAAGTGTTTATGCGAACATAGAAAAAGGGGTTTTCACCATGTTTCACATTTCTTGACACGCTGATTGAATGTCACCGAGTTACAACCCCAAGGGAAACCACAGCACCGCAGCCTCTTCTTTTCTCAGAAAATTTTCCAATACGTCACTAGAGGCAAGACGGCAAAACTTTAGTCAAAGAAATGTTTAGGGTACACGGCCTGAATAACCCTACAGACATGGAAATGACAGCACGCTGAACAACTCTGGAACGGTAAGTTCAATTTTTACTTGGTTTACTTGGTCTTTTCTAAGAGAGATCAAACACATTTTTTAGTTGCTATGAATGAATGAACCTGCGGTGAGGAAAGATGGTGTTGCAGTGTGATGGAGAAAGTGATAAAGTCTACTCTGAAGCGAGATTAGAAGTGGCTGCTTACGTGCATGTGATGAATGGAAAAGGCTTTCTTTTTTCTGTATTTAATTCATAAAATCATAACAAGTTAAAGCTCACCTATTGTGTTTATGCAAGAGTTCTCACTGTATTTTCCACAATATAATTGTGAACAAGACTTTTCACAGTTATATTGTAATTGTAATATATTCTGCACTAAAGATCACCTAAAAGGTCCAAGTAGACAGAAATATATTTAGATATAAAAACTAGTCCCAGTAAGATACCTAATGCTGTCTTTTTAATAAAAACGCTAACTCAGAAAGGTGCACTTTAAATGGCACAGGAAAACAGGTGGGGGGGTGAGGCAGGGGGAGGTGGCAGAATAGCAAAGACACAAAATAGTGTGGAGGAGCGAGAGAAGGAAAGGACGCCAGAGTTAAAGGGTTTCTAAAAGGACATGTGGATAGTTTTGTCAAATAAACAAAAGTCGTCCATGCACACAACAGCTTTTTTGGGGGTTGCAGTTTGAAATGTGTCAGCATGCTAACAAGCAAGTTTATCATGTTGATTTTACACATAAACAGTATTAAACAAATTGAAATTCAGACATTTCACAAAGCTCGTGGTAAGCTGTAAACACCCAAATTTCTGCCTGCCAGCAGCATTAGAGGAAACAGCTCAGGGGATTTATTGTATGTCTGTACAAAATTATGTGTCCCTGCATGCTCAACAGTCATACTGCTGCTGCCGCTGTTGTTTCGGGATACGCCTACTCCTAGACTGCGACTATGATATGCTAATTTCTCCCACCTTCAGCCCTTTCAGTTAAGAATTCAAGCCATAGCGGCATAATCAATCCAACCATCTCATTTCCAAGTGTCTGATCACATAAAAACTACTCGGCAGATTCTTGTCTCTGACGTCATAATAATAACGATACTTCAATTAATCACTTACAGTAAACAAGACAAGGTTCCACCAACTGACAACCATGCTCATTTTAGCTACTTATAGTCAGAGAGCAACAAACATCTTTACTGCCTCTTTTTGGTTGAACATCAGCCATAAAAACAAAAGAAGGAAAGAAAAAATACCCAGACAGGTCAGCAACTTTCTGGTAACCACCAGTTGCTTAGGGAAAATCTGCATTTCCTGACACCAACTATCTAATGAGTGACATTTTTGTCAGTCATGTAGGTTGACAGGGTGGACCAGACTTTAAGCCCATGTGACTGAAGCTTAACATGATGACTATTATGAAGCAGTTCTGATCTGTATGCCCACAGAAATGAGTAAAACATGTTACTCCAGCTCACCACTAGTTGTGGTTTCAGAAACCGCTGCACCAGTAATTTCAAGAAAAAAGTAGTTCAAGAAATGAAGAGCAGACTTTCTGGATTGTGAATGGTTGCTTTTTTTGTTATTGGAAACAAACATACCTTTCTGGGAAGACAAAGGGGTTAGGATGTGGTTTAAGTTTTTAGTGTGTATTTGTATTCAGTTTGCGGTTGTTTTTCTCGTGTGTCAGTGAAGTGAGTAAGGAAAGAGAGAAAGAGACGAAAGAGAAAAAAAAGAGATCAAAGAGTGTCAACTTTTTCACTTTGCTGTCGGACCAGTGTAGGGGAAGTCCAAAAGTCAGTAGACAAATGATATGAAGAGAACTAGTGCTTAACACATGAAAAATGGTTCTTAGAAGGTAAAGTATTAAGATAGTGTCTGATAAGAAGAGGCAAGAAGAGGAATCTTGATTTTTTTGAAGTTATTAACAAAGCGGGTTTTCCACAATTGGATAAGTGGTCAACTGACGCAAATCATTCAAATCTCCTGTTAGCTGGGGAAGTCTGTGGATTGTCCAGTATGACTTTGACTCGCATCATCAATCACATGACTTCAGATTTGAGTAAAAACAGACTTGTGATTTCAGTCTTATGAACTTTTTAAAAAAAAAATCCACCAGAACAGAAAAAGTCTTGTTGAAGTCTAACCAAAAACAAACAATCCATCCATCTTCTTCCGCTTTATCCGGGGCCGGGTCGCGGGGGCAGCAGCCTAAGCAGAGAAGCCCAGACCTCCCTCTCCCCAGCCACCTCCTCCAGCTTATCCGGGGAACACCAAGGCGTTCCCAGGCCAGCCGAGAGATATAATCTCTCCAGCGTGTCCTGGGTCTGCTCCAGGGCCTCTTCCCAGTGGGACATGCCCGGAACACCTCACCCAGGAGGCGCCCAGGAGGCATCCTTGTCAGATGCCCGAACCACCTCAGCTGGCTCCTTTCGATGTGGAGGAGCAGCGGTTCTACTCTGAGCCCCTCCCGGATGGCTGAACTTCTCACCCTATCTCTAAGGGAGAGGCCAGCCACCCTAGGGAGGAAGCTCATTTCTGCCTCTTGTATCCGCAATCTCGTTCTTTCGGTCACTACCCACAGCTCGTGGCCATAGGTGAGGGTAGGGACGTAGATCGATCGGTAAATTGAGAGCTTCGCTTTTACACTCAGCTCTCTCTTCACCACGACGGACCGGTGCAGCGTCCGCATCACTGCAGCCGCAGCACCAATCTGTCTGTCGATCCCTTCTCCCATCACTCGCAAACAAGACCCCGAGATACTTGAACTCAGAAACGTTGGACATAATTGGACAATATTACTCAGCTGAAACAAGGCTGTCCATAAGACTTGGCTTTGATGACACTGTAAGGGTAAAAAAGATGGTTTGTCAGAGTGGGAAAAATTGAGGCTGAGGCATTCCTATCCAAAGTAATTACAGTGAATCATTTCATGCTCTGTATTCCATACACAACACCAGAGGTTACAAGTAGACAATTTTACATAATCCAGACCTTTATGTCTTTAAAAAATGCTTAAATGTGACTAAATGGACAGTTTCACCTGGCTTCAAAGATAAATATAGCTTGGCTCTGTCATCATAGCTATGAAAATGTGTGCAGTGTTTACTAGTGATATTGTTGAAGTTGAATAAAGGTAAGTGTGGGCACAGAAGCTCATGGAACTTCATGATGAATCTTTTGCATTTAAAAGACTCACCGCTCTTTGAAAGTCTGTCTGAATGCTTTAACTGCAGAGGACTTCTACCCAGGCAAGAAGAAAGACTTAGCTGTGATTAAACCAAAACACCCACATCAAACATGCGCCTTGTTTGAGCCGTCTGCTACAGATTGATGTGACTGCAGTGCGACCTTTATAGATCTGGTAGAGTGAAAGGTCAGTTTCTACAGATTCCTCACACTGAGGAGCAGCAGTGCATTAGAGGTGTCAGGTAGGTGTATGTTGTCAGACCATTTGCATGCGGAAGATCAGATAACGAATAAAATATAAGCAGTCTCATATCATAATTTGACACAATAAGTAATCTACTTCATTTCCTATCCCATACTGGTGTTTCTCTTTTTTATTCTGGAAGATTGCAAGGCTGTTATCTTCTTGGATCACTACATGCAACATTGTCACCCTAAAAGAGCTCTCATCAGAGAGTCTCAATGTCAGGATGGAACTGATATTGCTTTATGCTGCAGCACATGACTCAATCTAATAGTACATTTTAAGAGGATTTAGTTAGTGTAACTTCCCCCCCTCACCTTTTGTATCAACTGACATCTTGTTAATTTTTACACAAAGTGCCTCCTGTTAAGCTTATCAACTTCCTGACTACTAAAGCACTTTCTTGTAATGTGCATGACTGGAAATTGTATACTCCATTTATTAAAATCCTGTAAGTCTGAGCTCATTGCATGTAATCAGATTAAGTTTTTTTAAGAAGTGCCGTTAGCAGGAAGTGAACCTGTCAGAATAATGGAACATTTGAGTTCTCAGAAAAACATTTTGACCTTTATTAAACCTTGCAAACAGGTGACCGTAGAAGCACCAACATAATGTGCTTTCCCCTGTGCACGGAAATGGAAGAAAAACAGTAGTGTGCAGCGGTTTAGGCTAAAAAAAAAGGAGAACAACACTTTTTCTTTTTTTTTTCTTTCTTTTTTTTTAAAGAAATGATACTGGCACCACAAATATTTATCAGTAAATGATTTTTAAAATCTTACACTGCATTTTAAACTGCAGCAACTCATGGTATACTTGCCACGAACTGCCACAAGTGTTGACTTCTGCATGACACTTGGAACGTAGTTTGTTAGACAGTTATTCTATGGATTGTGGCTGAAGATAATATTTAGGGTTTTAGCTGCAGGTTCAGGTTTAGGTTTTCTATCATGCTACAAAGCAGAATATATGTTATGTTATGAATGTGAATCTAAACATGTAAAGAATCTACGTCAGCGCTGTGCAGTATAAACTTAATATGTTTGCGTTAATCACAATGAAAAGAAATGTTCGCTTGAATATCAATGAGATAAAATGCTTTTAAAAAAAAGTCTTTACAGATAATACTGCAGTAAACGCACAAGGTGAAAGTTTTAGGTCAGGCTGTGGGTGTTTGTGGGTCAGCTTGCACTTGGCTGCAAAACCACAAGAACCACGAATCCACACAAACACTTTTTTTTTTTCATCCTGTTTTTCACAGAGTTTAAATGTCATTGCGGTCCACATGCAAAGGCAGCTGCAGCTAATACATTTATAAGTATTAGCTGTAGCATGCCCTTTGTGTGCATTGCTGTGCACGGTTAAAAATCCAGCAGGCTGGGGGAAATGGCAGGCTGTAGTCAACAAACTAATAAATGATGATGAAATTTAAAACTGAAACATTAACGCAGAAGCTGCCAGTTTTTATTTGACTGCATGTTTAAATGTGTCATCAGGTACTAAATTTAACCTTATCTGTCAGTTGAAGGAAATGATAGGAAGTAAGAAACACGTGTTGACATGCTTCAGATGCTCAGAAGTGAAGAATAATTAATCAGAAGTTCACATTTTAGTCTGGAGAGCAGTGCCGATTCAAAGTAAGATCCTCTACAGTGTTAATTGCTTGAATTGAAAAGCAATGAATTCAACCTTTTTTTTTTCCTTTTATCTGTTTGGGTTTGTGTAGCTGACACAATTATTATTATTGTTTTATTAAGAGAACTGTTTGATATTTAAACTGTATTTTATTAAATAGTTTTGCTGAATTCCAGTGGAGATTGAATGGAAACTGCTGACATTTTTGCACAAATGTGGGTGGGATGAAAAAGGCAGACTGTTGTATGTTCCAAAAAGGAAGCTGATGAAAGGTTTTGCATGTCTTGAGTGTGCGTGGCTGAGTGTAAAATGAGAATTTGACCAGAGAATTTCTTTTCATTACCTGTTTTAATGGCTGTATGAGTGTGGCCTTTCAGAAAAACCAGCTGGTCTTGTTTTACCCTGAAAAAGGAAATATCAATGACATTGTATTTGGTGTTGATTTTGATGCATAAGCCTGATTTACACTGGAACTTTGTTGTCTCAAATCAACATTGTTCATTTATCCTGTTACTGCAAGAGAACAAATGTCACATTTGTACAGATGTGGAACCGCAGAGGAGTGGGGCAGGATCTGAAACACTTCTATTTCTGTTTTTCCATCGACTGCTTATGTTACAACTTATTCTTGATGTGTTTGTAGGCAGCAGTTTTTTTTCTATGTGTATCTCTGTCACATTGTTGCATCTTGTCAACCAGATGATTTAATAAACACTTTAAATTTATTTATTTTTTATCTGGGCAGGATGAGAAAAATTGGGAAGCAGTGAGCCAAAGTCTGGAGCGACTACAATGCTTCAAATCTTCCAGTCACTGAGCTTTGGAAACAAACCATCCCAGTGGCCTCAAAGGACTTAACAAATGGAGAGAAATAAGAAAAGCCTTTCCCTGTTTATTCTGCTGCCTGTGCTGCTGCTCTGCAGAAGTGATGAGTGTCCCAGGCTTCCAGAGAGTTAGTCTTTATTCCTCTTTATTCATGTTTAACTGATTTTAAGATCTGTTGTTTAACATATTTACTCATTCTCATCGAATCTCTCCGGTTTTAATTCTCACAGATCTCACTTGCTACACTGACTACAATAGAAACATCACATGTTTGTGGAACAGCAAATACGTGTCTGATGACACTGCATGCACCATACATGCTCAGTATGAATCTCGCTACATGTAAGGACCTCAGTCACAAAAAGAAAACCTAGATGCATAATACTTACAATACACGAGTCACAAATGTCATCAGTAACATCATCTACAGCAAAATCAAATGAATATTCTTCTTCTCAGCTCTTACAGCACTTCCTGTCACCTAAAGTCTGTTGACATGTCCAGACCAGACCTAAAGGAGTGCTCCCTCATCTTTGAAATGGAATTCACTGTGAGTGTGTAAACAACTAGCATTGTTGGTGGATACCCTGTTTATTAAAAATATGTTTAAAATCTGTAGAAGAGAGAAAAAAAGAATCATCTGCTTTTTAAGGTATAGACAGATGTGAAGAATCCTGTGATGAGCATATGGCCAGCAGGACATTTAAAGCACACTGCTTTCCATTTTATATTAGAGTATCTATGTATGAATTTCAGGAAGTACAACTCCAGGATCAGGCTTCTTTTTTATTTTTACTTTTTTTGCACATGAAGTGAAATTAAGCTAATTATGGCCTCTGTGCAGACACAGACTACTGTGTGAAAATGCTAATTTCTCAAAACGTAGAAGCTAAACTGAGAGAGCATTCTGGACCCCTTTTTTTCTAATATGTGCGGGTATACCTGCACATATGAAATAATAATATGTCAAAAATGAAGAAGAAGCATAACTGGTCCCACCCTTGTGAATTTCACTCTGTGACACCAAGGAAAACCTCAAGCCTCAAGCATATACATCACTTCACAAGTACAGTGGGGCAAAAAAGTATTTAGTCAGCCACCGATTGTGCAAGTTCCCCCACTTAAAATGATGACAGAGGTCAGTAATTTGCACCAG